CTGCTACAAGGGACCTCTTTAAGGTGTTAAAGAACAAAGATATCACTTTGAAGAGTAAGGTGTGCCTGACCCAAGCCATGGTATTTCCAGTTGCCTCATATGCATGTGAAAACTGTGCAATGAACAAGGATGAGTTGATGACTTTGAATTGTGGTGTTGGCAAAGGATACCAAAAATACCACGGCCTGCCAGAAGAACTAACAAATCTGTCCTGGCAGAAGTACAGCTGGAATGCTCCTTGGAAGGAAGAATGGCCAGAATTTGTCTCATCTACTTTGGTCATGTTGTCAGAAGGAACTATGCCCTGGTGAAAGATACCGTGCTTAGTGAATTAGAGGGTATGCAAAAAAGGAGAAGATCCTCAACAAGATGGATTGACAAAGGGGCTGCAATATATAGAGTTGCTGTGAGTTGGAGCTGACTCCATGGCATCTAAGAAGAACAACAACTACCACCCTTCTAGAAATGTTAGCTGTTATGTACAACCCACATGATTGGACCAGTAAGGAACATCATGATAAAGGGAGCAAAAGTTAAAGTCAAGGATTTCATTTTATTTGGATCCCTAATCAACACCTGTGGAAGCAGCAGTCATGAGTAGACACTTAATGTGGGTGAAGGGAAAGGCAGTATACCATAAGGGAGAGGTCATCAAAAAATGATCAAAGCAGAGGAAGGCACTGGGAGGAGCACAAGAATTAAAGGCAACAAAGATAAGTACTGTTACATATACCAAAAAAAAAAAAAAAAAGAAGAAGAAAGAGAGAAATCAAACAACATATTGCATTGGGCAAATCTGCTACAAAAGACCTCTTTAAGGTGAAAAGGAAAGATAGCAAGCATTTTGAGGATTAAGATGCATGTAACCTAAACTATGGTATTTTCAGTTGTTTCACATGCATGGGAAAACTGAACAATGGATAAGAAATACTAAAGAAGAATTGATGCATTTGAATTATGTTGTTGGTGAAAATGAAGATACCATGGACTGCCAGAAGAACAAACAGATCTGTCTTGGAAGAAGTACAGCCAGAATGCTCCTTAGAAGCAAGGATGGTGAGACTTTGTCTCACGTATTTTGGACATGTTATAAAGAGGGACCAGTCCCTGGAGAAGGAGATCATGCTTGGTAAAGTAGAAGGTCAGTGACAAAGAGGAAACTCCTTAACAAGATGAATTGTTAACAGAGGCTGCAACAATGGGCTCAAACATAGCATCGATTGTAAGGATGGCACATTTTGTTCCGTTGTGCATAAGGTCATTATGAGTCAGAAGCAACATGAGGGCACTTAACAGCACAACATTATCATGTGTGAATGAGACACCCCCAAAATTTATATGGTGGTACACAGAATTGGTTTGGTTTAAAAAACAGCCTTCTGCATGTTAGGTTGATTGAACAAGCAAAGACTTAGAATAATAATAATAATAATCAGTTTGCATAGAATGCTGAATGCTGAGCAAGGAATGGAGAGAGGGAAAGATTGGGGCATTTATGCCAGCTAATTTCTGAGCTCCTTCTTTGTTTTGATTTTATTTAATTAAAACCATTTATGGAGCATTTGCTAAGTGCCAATCACTCTCTACAATTTATTGACAAGAAAGGTAAGTCAGGAGACCAGTCTGGTGAGAGTGTTGATAGAGGGCACCCCACAGAGGATGCCCTGAGAGCCCACAGGCTGGCAACTGATGGGGCTCAGAGGAGGTACTGGGCCTGCTTAGTGACCAGGAGGAGTTCCCAGGCTATGACTCCAGCGACAGGGCCAAACAAGGTGACATCATGAACACATGGTAAGGTACAACCTTCCCCTAAGTTGCACTCTGTTAGTGTTTCTACTGCATCCTTCACAAAGGGGGAAAAAGTAGCAATGGTCTGTGGTTCCTAGAAATGAAAAAAAAAAATGTAGGATGTTATTCAACTAACTTCCTAGAATTGGTCTAACAGACAAATGATTCCAAAATTCTTTGGTGGCTCTGCAAAGCTCTGAGGCTTGACATCATAAGAGCTTTCAGTTTGATGTCACATTCAGATGCAACTGATCTACTATGTGCGTATGATAGATGAGGAAAAAATTGAAGTTGTCAAATATTTCATTTTACTTGGATCAACAATCAATACCCATTGAAGCAGCTGTCAAGAAATGAAGTGATGTATTACATTGGGCAGATCTGCTGCAAAAGGCTATGACATTTTTAAAAAGCAAGTATGTCATTTTGATGACTAAAGTATGCTACAGTCAGAAGAATTGATACATTTGAATTGTGGAGTTGGTAAAGAATATTGACTACACCATGGACTTCCAGAAGAATGAGCAAATCAATCTTAGAAGAAATACAAGAATGCACCTTAGAAGTGGGGATGGCACAAAAATTAACTGCAGGTGGATCAAACACCTAAATGGAAAACCCCAAATGATAAAATTCATCAAAGATAAAGTAGGGGCAAACTTAGGGTCCCTAATTTATGGTATAAAGACCAACTGTAACCCAACTATAACCCCACATGCACAAACAGCAGAAGAGAAACTAGATGACTGGGACCTTTTAAAACTAAAATTCTTAGGTGCATCAAAAGACTTCTCCAAAAGAGTGAAAAGAAAATGTCAGATTGGGAAAATACAATTGGGAATAACATATCCAATGTGGGACTTACCTCTAAAATTTATAGAAAACTTCAACCCCTCAACTTTTAAAAAGACAAACAATCCAATTCAAAAATGAAGAACAGACACTTCACTGAAGAAGATATTCAGGCAGCCAATAAACATGAAGAAATGCTGTCAATCATCAGCCATTCCAAAAACCTAAACCCACTGCCATTGAGTTGATTCAGATTCATAGCGACCTACAATGGCTTTCTGAGGCAGTGAATCTTTATGGAAGTAGATTGCCCAGTTTTGCTGTGGTGGAGTGGCTGGTGGTTTGAACCACCAACCTTCTGGTTAGTAGTCAGATGCCTGAGGCACTGTGCTACCAGAGTTCCTTCATCAGCCATTAGAGAGATGGAAATCAAAATAACAATGAGATATAATCTCACTCCAGCAAGAAAAGCAACGGTCAGCAGGACAGAAGAAAACAAATGCTGGTGAGGGTAGGGAGAGATTAGAACTCTCATACACTGCTGGTGGGACATAAAATGTTACAACCACTATGGAAAACAGTGTGGCAGTTCCTTAAAAAGTTAGAAATAGAAATACCATTTGATCCAGCAATCCCATTACTAGGAATATATCCTAGAGCAATGAGACCTGAGACATGAATAGATATGCAAACCCATGTTCATCACAGCACTATTTACAATAGCAAAGAGATGGAAACAACCTAAGTACCCATCAACAGAGGAATGGATAACCAAGCTATGGTACATACACCTGATGGAATACTATGCAACATTAAAGAGTAATAACAAGTCAGCAAGTCACCTCATAGTGTGAATGAACTTGGAGAACATTATGCTGAGTGAAATAAATCAGTCACAGAAGGACAAATATTGTATGAGTCCATTATTGTAAAAAAGTCAAGGAAAGGTTTACACATGGAAGGAAATTTTCTTTGTTGGTTACCAGGGATGGGAGGAGAGGGAAACGGTGGGAAAACAGATGGATAATTAAGAGACAGTTTTGACATGGATGAAAGGATTTGAAAAAGAAAGATTAGCCATTAGTTGATACTTTTTGAGGTTAGGTTATGGGCATATGGGGGTTCATTGTTCTAGTCTTTATTTCTGTTTGAAATATTTTATAATAATAATAATAATAAAGAAGCGAGGAAGGGTTTAAAAAAGAAAGTTAGCCATTAGTTGATAGTTTTTGAGGTTAGGTTATGGGTTCATGGGGGTTCATTGTTCTAGTCTTTGAAATGTTTTATAATAGGAATAAGGAAGTGAGGAGGGTGAGTCTTTAGCTTCCTTATTTTGGACATGTCATCAGGAAAGACCAGTTCTGGAAAAGGACATCATGATTGGTAGAAAGTCAGCAAAAATGAGGGAAGCCCTCAGTGAGATGGGCTGACACAATAACCACAACAATGAATCACCAATCATGAATATGGTGCAAGACTAGGCAATGTTTCATTCTGTTATACATAAGGTTGCTAAGATCAGAGCTGACTGTACAGCAACCAACTAACTACTAGATGCACCTAGAGAGAAGTAAACACTCTCAGAGAGTGAAAAGGTAAGAAGCGTGTGATAATTACAGTTGTGTGTCAGTTTGGCTGAGTCTGGGTTTGAGTGGCTGGGCAGTCGGATATAGCTATTCCGCATGAGAAGACTGATCATCAGTGCCATGTTGGAATCTTGCTGTGAGCAGCTGAATGGCTGCCTTAGGGATGTGGTCTGCTGTCAGTACATAAGAACCTTTGAGAAAGGTCTCTAGCTTTTTGGCATGCTCGGATTCTACATTTAGCTGAGTCTTCATTCAGCAACCTACCATGTTGCCTACAATCTTGGGACTGTTTCTGGACTTGAACTAGTGGCCTACTGTATTGCTTGATCCTCTTGGGACTGTGCCATTTTACTTGTCATCCTTGGGTTTGTCAGCCTCAGCAGCCAGCATCTGCCTAAGAGATGCCTCCAGCTTCATTGGGCTGGGAGTAAGAGGTAGAGCTGAAGCCCACAGTCAAGGGGCCTTCACCCAGCCCCTGGAGCTGGCTCTTTGAACTTGGACTTCTAGCCTCCTAAATGGAAGAGAATAAATCCCTGTTTGTTAAAACCATACATCTGTGGTATGTCTGTTACAGCAGCACTGGAGAACCAAAAACAGGTAGCACGTTATTGATGTTACCTGCTGTGAAGTCAGCCTCTGACTCGTGGGAACCCTGTGCACAACTGGACAGAATATTGCCCAGTCCTCACCATCTCCATGATCAGCTGGGGACCAGACCATTATGATCACAGACTTTTCGGGTAGGATAGGTAGTTGTCATGTCCTGGAGTGAACTAAAGAAAAGTTCATTGTATTGCTCCATGTGTATTATGAACCAAGAACTTTTTTCTGCAGCTCCCTCAGTGGCTCCCGATGTTTGGAGGAAGGTGAAGTCAGTACCAGGAGGTTATAATGTGACATTATTCTGGAAGGTAAGATGCCCAGATTCACAATGACAGACTTGTTTGGCAACATGTCTTTCATTGTAAAATTATGAATATTGGAACAGTTTTCCAATTGGGAGGAACCTAAATGTAATCCAATAGAATTTCTTACCCTCTTTGGGAATATGCATTACACATCCACATCCCTGCTTGGACACAGTGTTGGGTTACTCAATAAGCAAGGAAAGCACAGGCTTATTTGTGCTTGCTTACTAATCTGTAGTGAATAGTTTCACATTTTTTCACTACAGCAAAGATTCTGCTTCTAGGTATGGCTGGCATCTGTCTCTCTCTCAACCCCACAAGATCGTCCTTCAGAATCAAAGCCTCTTTTCAAATTTACAATCCCTGATGGGGACAGAGTACACAGTAAGCAAGATATGCCAAGCTTAGTTATTGTTGTTGAGTGGGCTCCAATTCATAGCGACCCTATGTATAGCATATCCGTTCTGCTATACATAGGGTCACTGTGAGTTGGAGATGACTCGGTGGAACCTAACAATAACAACAAAACGTACAAAAGAACAAAACACTGCCTAATCTTGCACCAGCCTCACAACCCTTGTCATACCTGAGCCCATCATTGCAGCCACAGTGTCAATCCATCTCATTGAGGGCCTTCCCCTTTTTCATTGACCCTCCACTTTACTAAGCATAATATCCTTCTCCAGGGAATGGGTCCTTCTGACAACATGACCAAAATAGGTGAGACAAAGTCTGGCCATTCTCGCTTCCAAGGAGCATTCCAGCTGCACTTTGTCCAGGACAGATTTGTTAGTTCTTCTGGAAGTCCACAGTACTTTCAGTATTCTTCACTAACACCACAATTCAAAAACAACAACTCTTCTTGTGCCTTTCTTCTTCATTGTCCAGCTTTGACATGCATATGAGGCAGTCAAAAATACCATGGCTTGGGTTATGCATATCTTAGTCTTCAAAGTGACATGCTTGCTTCTTAACACTTCAGAGAGATCTTTTGCAGCAGATTTGCCCAGTGCAATATGACATCCAATTTCTTGACTGCTGCTTCTGTGGATGGTGATTGTGGATCCAAATAAAATGAAATCCCTGACAACTTCAATCTTTTCCCCATTTATCCTGATGTTGCTTATTGGTCCAGTTGTGAGGAGTTTTATTTTCTTTATGTTGAGGTGTAATCCATACTGAAGATATTGATTTTTATAAGAGCTTCACATCATCTTCACTTTCAGCACTAAGGTAGTGTAACCTGCATATCACAGGTTGTTAATGAGTCTTCCTCCAATCCTGATGTCACATTTTTATGTATATATTTCAGCTTCTCAGATTATTTGCTCAGCATACAGATTGAATAAGTATGGTGAAGGGATACAACCCTGATACACACCATTCCTGATTACAAACCATGCAGCCTCCTCTTGTTCTGTTTGAACGATAGCCTCCTAGCCTATATACAGGTTTCTCATGAACACAATGAAATGTTCTGGAATTCCCATTCTTCATGATATTACCCATAATTTGTTATGATCCCCACAGTCAAATGCCTTTGCATAGTCAGTGAAACACAGGTAAACATCTTTCTGCCATTCTTTTCCTTGCAACCAAGATCCATCTGACATCAGTAATGATATCCCTTTTACTATGTCCACTTCTGAATCCAGCTTGAATTTCTGGAAATGCCCTATCAATATACTGCTGCAACTGTTTTTGAATTATCTTCTGCAGAATTCCACTTGCATGTGATATTAATGATATTGTTTGATACTTTCCAAATTCTGTCAGATCACTTTTCTTTGGAACGGGCACAAGTTTCAATCCCTTCCACTCAGTAGGCCAGGTAGCTCTCTTCCAAATTCCTTGGCATAAATGAGTAAGCATCTCTAGCGCTGCATCCATTTGTTGAAACTTCTCAATAGGTATTTCCATGAATTCATGAAGTCTTGTTTGGACTTCTTCAATACTACTGGTTCTTAATCATATGTTACCTCCTGAAATAGTTGAACATCAACTAATTCTTTTTGACACAATGACTGTGTATTCCTTCCATCTTCTTTTGATGTTTCCTGTATCATTCAATATTTTGCCCATGTTGTTGTTGTTGTTATGTGCCATCGAGTCGGACCCAACTCATAGCGACCCCTCCTTGGGTTTCCGAGGCAGTATCACTACGGAAGTAGATTGCCGCATCTTCCTTCCGAGGAGTGGCTGGTGGGTTTGAGCCGCCAGCCTTCTGGTTAGCAGTCAAGTGCCTTAGGCACTATGCTACCAGAGCTCCATTCCAAAGAAAAGTGATCCGACAGAATTTTGCCCATAGAATCCTTCAATATTGCACCTCAAGGCTTTAATTTTTCTTTAGTTCCTTCAGCTTGAGAAATGCCAAGTGTTTTCTTCCCTTTTGGTTTTCTAACTCCAGGTCTTTGCATATTTCATTATAATAATTTACTTTGTCTTTTCGAGCTGTTCTTTGAAATCTTCTATTTAGCTCCTTTTTTTTTTTTTTTTTTTTTTGGTCATTACTTCCGTTCACTTTAGCTATTCTCTGTTCAAGAGCAAGTTTCAGAGTCTCTGCTGTTATCCATTTGGTCTTTTCTTCTTTTTCTGTCTTTTAATGATCATTTGCTTCCTTCATGTATGATGGTCTTGAGATCATCCCAAAACTCCTCTGGTTTTCAGTCATTAGTGTTCAATGTGTCAAATCTATTCTTCAAATGGTCTCTAAATTCAGGTGGGATATACTCAAGGTCATATTTTGGCTCTTGTGGACTTATTTTAATTTTCTTCAGCTTCATCTTAAATTGGCATATGAGCAATTGATGGTCTGTTCCACAGTCAGCTCCTGGCCTTGTTTTGTCTGAAGATACTGCCTCTTCCCACAGATGTAGTCAATCTGATTCTTTTGTATTCCATTTGGCAAGGTCCCTGTGTATAGACACCATTTATGTTGTTGAAAATGGTATTTGCAATGAACAAGTTCTTGGCCTTGCAAAATTCTGTCATGAGATCTCCAGGCTCATTTCCATCACCGAGGTCATATTATCCAACTACCAATGATTTTATTTATTTCCAATGTTCACATACCAATCACAAGTAATAATCAATACATCTTGATTGCATATGCAGTCAATTTCAGACTCAGAACTTGGTAAAAATCTTCAATTTCTTCATTTTTGGCTTCAGTGGTTGGTGCATAAATTTGAATGGTAGTAGTATTAACTGGTTTTTCTTGTAGCCATGTGGATATTATCCTATCACTGACAGCATTGTACTTCAGGATAGATCTTGAAACATCCTTTGTGACAATGAATGTGATGCCATTCCTCTTCAATTTGTCATTCTCGGCATAGTAGACCATATGATTCAAAATGGCCAATGCCAATCCATTTCAGCTCACAAATGCCTAGGGTATCTATTATTATGCATTCTGTTTCATTTTTGACAACTTCCAGTTTTCCTAGGTTCATGCTTTGTACATTTCACATTCCAATTATTAATGGATGTTTACAGCTGTTTCTTCCCATGTAGAATCATGCCTTATCAGCAAATGAAGGTCCTAAATGCTTTACTCTATCCACGTCATTAATGTCAACTCTATTTTGAGAAGGCAGCTCTTTCTTAGTCGTATTTTGAGTGCCTTCTGACCCAAAGGGCTCATCTTCTGTCACTATATCAGACAACATTTCAGAGCTATTCATAAAGTTTTCCAGTAATATATCAGACAGTGTTTCACTGCTATTCATAAGGTTTTAAGTGGCCTGTTGTTTCAGAAAAGTGGATGACCCCATCCTTCTTCCTATTCTGGGTTAGTCCACAAGCTCTGCTGAAACACGTCCATGGTGAGTGACCTGCTGGTATCTGAGATACCGATGGCATAGCTTCCAGCCTCACAGCAACACAAGCCACCACAGTGTGACAAACTGACAGACAAGCAAGGACTTACTTATGCTTGTTTACTAATCTGTAGTGAACAGTTCCATGTTTGTTTGTTTTTTACCTATTTACTGTGATTTGAGTGAAAGTTTACAGAGCAGATTGGTTTTCCATTCTGCTGTCTGTACACATTTTCATTCATGACATTGATTGCAGTCCCCACAAAGTAACAGCACTCCTCCTATTTCTTCTCTGTGTTTACCATTTCCATTTTCCTTCTTTCCTATCCCTTCCTGCCTCCTGAGCTTCATTCCTGGGCAAATACCCCCCTTTTGATCACACATAGTTGGTTGGTCTAAGAGTACATTCCTCCTTGGTGTTACTGTGTGGTGAAACCCATGTGAAATTGTTCAATACAGATTAGTAAGTAAGCACAGGGTTACCTTGCTTATTGTGTAATTTGCCCCTGCTTGGGCATCCGATGAAGGAATCTACTACATCCTTGACAACTCATTCCACTGAGTCTTAATTATAGAATCTTCCTGTCTGCAACATCTGCTCAGGCCCACTTTCAAGTTTTTCAGGCTCAGGATGAGTATTAAAGGAGGCCCACATACCATCATAAAAGTAATCAATATTGAAATACTCATAATATTTATATTGAAAAGTTATGAATTAAGCTAACGAAGTATAACATAAATATATTTTATCTTTCTGCCTTGACTAAAATACCTTCATAACAATGGGGAAGGCCAGGTTCATATTCCGAACTTTCATATTTTTGAGTGTTATACCAAAACATGGCAGTACTGGGAGGTGGCCTTTATCACAGCTTACCCCATGTGTCTTAACACCTCTGGCTTTGGCTCACTCAACGAGGACCCCTATGCACACATAGGTGGACACACTAGTCTAAGTTCTGCCCACACCCCAGCCCCAAGGAAACAGCCACTCCAGTGTAAGGGAGCACACCCCTGAGACACCATGGGTGGTGACCTTGGGAGGGCAGGCTTGAGGAACAAGCTCTGAACCTTTGGGGCTGTTTGAATGGGGAATTCTCTGCAACATGAAGCATCATCTAGAAGAAGAGGGTGGGGCTCTAGGTTTGGGAAGGGCTGCAACTAGAGGAGGGGTGAAGCCCAAACGAGCTCCTCCTACTAGAGTCTGAGAGTGGTGCTATTTCTAGTCATTCTTCTCCCCTCCGCTATCCCTGCCACCCCGAGTCTTTTTTTTTTTTTTTTTCTTCCCACCAGGCTGAAGAGTTTCCCTTCCTCTTGTTTCTGACTTGGTCACCCTTCTGTAGACACATTGTGCTCTTGAGTGTCTCATCCCCAAATGACCCTCTTCTCTACTTTAGTGTGTAGTTTTAGATTAGAATGCCTGACTTCAAACTTGGTTCACAAGGTTATTTTCTTTATTAAATCATTTGAGTTTTCTAGCATGTGTGCATATATGTATGTCTCTGTCTGTCTTTCTGTCTGACAAAGGCAGTTGAGGAACAGAAAAGATGGAAAAGTAAAGTAATTGTGCAAAGTTCTTTAGAGTAAAGCCCATTTTGAAATGATTATCGGTATTTTCAATATTTTTTTTCAGCCATTACCAAAATTTCATGCAAATGGAAAAATTCTATTCTATAATATAGCTGTGGAAAATCTAGACGAACTATCCAAATTCAATCTCTCCATTCCTGCACCCCTCAATGACACAGAACTAACCCTCAACCATTATTCTTACCAAGTTCGCATCACAGCAAATAACCGTGTGGGCACTTCTCCTGCTTCGGTAATTGTCATCTCTGGAGACTCTGGAGACAGTGAGTTTTGTTTTGTTTTCATCTCTAGGAAAACGTTGAGGATGTGATTAGGTAGATATGGATAAATTTGGAAGACAGTAGCTTGAAAAGATAAATGTCCAACCACCAAAAAGCTGTTGGTCATTTCCATTTGGGACAGGGGAGTCAATAAGCTTCATCAGGAAAGGTCCTCCTCAGTGTAGTAAGAATGAGATTTCAGCTGGAGCTCCTGACATTTCTGCCCTAGGGATTTGTCAGCATACTTGGGAAGTTAATAAAAATTTATTCAAAAAATGCATCACTAGCAAATGATCCTTACTACGAATTAGAATTGGTACTTAAATGCTTGTCAACTATTACTTGCATTTATCGTGGTGTAAGAAGTTTGTTGCAGTCACTGGGTGGTGTAAAAGGTTAAATGCACTCAGCTGATAACCAAAAGACTGTTGGTTCAAGTCCATCCAGAGGCACCTTGTACTTTTGAAAAATCAGCCATTGAAAAGTCTGTGGAGCATAATTCTACTCTGATGCCCGTAGCATCTCCATCAGTTAGAGTTGACTCAGGGCCAACTTTTTTGTTGTTGTCAATCTTCATCATGTAGAAAGAGCTTGTTAACATTTCCCATGATCATAAGAAGAATTGGCACTGATTTTTGAGAGGGACCTTGCCAAAATTATAG